CACTCCTACTGCCCCCCTTGCCGGCCTGGTTGCCCCTAACTGCCCCCCTCTGCTGGCCTGTTTGCCCCTCACAACCTTCCGTTCAGTCGTTTGGTCATCCCTCACTAACCCCCCTGCCAACCTGGTTGCCCCAGGCAGCCTGCTGGTAGTTACTGTTACTGTGATGGCATCCCAGACAATTTGCATATCCCTCTATTATCAGTAGATTGCTCTCTGCTTTATACCAGTTTTTAATGTTTTGTCTACATATATTAAGGCTACCTATAACATCCACATTTATTGCATTTTACTTGTTATGAAATTTTTAGTGATATAGCTTCTCTGACCACATGTAATGGCTAGGGATTAATTCAAAATCACCATCTATTGTGGGCTATTTTTTGGTTAATAGTATTCATGAAAATAGAATAGGCAATATTCACTTGAATAACACTGCATATAGAAAACAGAACTTCATTTATTAGTAAATTTTGATGTTTTGATGTTTGCTACATGCCCCAATTTTCATTAATGTCCATATACTAGGTGTATTGGTTAATGATGTGGATTTTGTAATCAAAGAAAACATGATAATTTTAAGAGAAATATCAAAAGTGCTTTATTCAAAGTAATGTCCATTGCTAGCTACACATTTCTCCCATCTTTCAGGTAACTTGTGGATACTGCCCCAACAGAACTTTTCTTGTTTTGAGACAAACCATTCAGAGACCCAATTTTCCACTTCGTAAGTTTTGAAGTGCTGCTCAGGAAGTGCCTGTGCGATCCTTCGGAACAAGTAGTAATCTGAAGGAGCAAGGTCTGGTGAACACAGCGGGTGGGTTAACACTTCCCAGGCAAGATCTTTTAACATGTCTTTAGCTGTTTTGAAGTGTGTGACGATGCATCATCATGAAGCAAAACTACTTTGCCATGTTTTCTGGCACATTCTGGTCATTTCACTATCAAAGCATGGTTCAAATTGATTATTTGTTGTTGGTAGCAATCAGTATTAATGGTTTCACCTGGTTTTAGAAGCTCATAATACACCACACCTTCCTGATCCCACCAAACGCAGAGCATTATTTTCTTTCCGAAGTGATTTGGCCTTGCAGTCGATGTTGATGGTTGACCTGGATCAACCCATGATTCTGTGCGTTTGGGATTCTCAAAATAAATCCATATTTCATCGCCAGTCACAAATTTGATGCAAAAAAGACTTTCTTTCGTGTGGTTGAAGCCACATTTTACTGATGACTTTTCGGTTTTCCATTTGTCTTTTGTTCAGTTGATGCAGCAACCATTTTCCTTCCTTTAAAATCTTTCCCATTGTTTGTAAATGATCGAAAAATGATTGCTGAGCAATGTTTAATCTTTCTGCAAGTTGTTTTTGAGTTTGACACACATCTTCATCCAATAATGCTTGTAATTGTTGGTCTTCAAACTTTTTTGGTTGATCTGGATGTTCTTTGTCTTTCAGATCGAAATCATCACTTTTAAAGCATTTAAACCAGCGTTCAAAAGTATCTTGAGATGAAGCATGTTCACAATAACCTTCCCAAAGTATTCAGCAGCACTTTTCTTCAAAATAATGAATTAAAACTTCCCACAAATGTTTTTTTTAGCACGAAATTTGACATTTTTCAGTGTAAAAATATCTATGTTAACACCTTCAGAAAATGTGATATATGAAGTTTTGAAGCTTGTCAATACAAAATAGCATACATATCAAATCGCATATATATCAACATATGTGTAACTCCATCGATTGAAAAAAATCCGCATTATTAACCGGTACACCTGGTATATTTTTAGTTCTGTGACATGTTGTTCAACATTTTTCGTTGTCTTTCCAGAACTTATACCTTCTTCCCTATATATCATATGTAATATAACATTTACTCATATATGAATTATTACTGTTATTATTATAATGACTTCATCACGAGTAGCCAAAGCTCAGAGAATTTCAGTGTTTTTCTTTCATAAAGCGCTTGAGAAACTCATTCTCAGATAGCCATTTTGAGGTAGGATCAGAAATCAGGCTTCTGGAAAAAAATCGTACACCTATGGATTAGGACAGTGGGGGCGGTGTGTAAGGGCAGAGGGTGGGGTGGGAACCGGATGGAGGGGAGCTATGGGGGGAAAAAAGAGGAACAACTGTAATAATCTGAACAATAAAGATTTAATTTTAAAAAAATCAGACAAAAAAGAAAAAAAAAGAAAAAAGAAATCAGGCTTAAAGAGGGTAAGAATGACACTTCAAATTTACCAACTGCACTGAGCTACATGTGAGTTTCAGGGAATAGCATGTGAACTTGCAGGCAGCACGAGGCACTGAAGATTACAGTGGCAATAGCTGTACTGTTTTCCATGGACAAACCCCCACATCTATACTAGAAGCCCCATTGCTCCCAGTTTGTGGCAGTGTAATGCTCAGAGCAGAGCTCTGGCAATGGAGTCAGGATACATAGGTTATGTAACGCGGTAATAATATCAACACAATGAGAGAATTTGAAGAAGTCTATCTGAGCCTTAGTTTCCTAACTCATAAAATGAGAATGTTAGGATGCAGGTTCCCTAAAGAATCCTGGTTCTAAAATGCTTCAATTCTAGGAAAGAGCACTCAAATTAATACTAGTGCAGGTTCAAGGGAAAGATAGGACATGGAGTGATTGCCTCTGATCTAGAGAATGTATGAACCACACCACTTGGGTCTTCTGCACATTTTTGCTCATGTTGGGAGCACAGGCAGTTAATACAGAAGAGTAGCAAACTGTCCCAGGACTTACAACCAGCATAAGCTGTCTGATTTTTAAAAATATATTTTTGTTGATTTCAGAGAGGAAGGGAGAGGGATAGAGATAGAATCATCAATGATGAGAGAGAATCATTGATTGGCTGCCTACTGCACGCCCCCTACTGGCAGGATTGAGCCCGCAATCCTGGCATGTGCCCTTGGAGGGAATCAAACCTGGGACCCTTTAGTCATTGGGCTAATGCTCGCCAAACCAGCTAGGGAAGCTGTTTGATTTTTGATACCTCAGTGAGTATTTGTATTAAAGGCTTTCTGATAGCAAAAATCTTAGGATGATGCTATTCTTCAAACATAGTAAATCTCTTTGATTTTTCATCACCCTCTTTGTTCCCCACAGAGAATTTCCAAAATCCACCTTTACTTGGAACTTCAAAGCCTCTGCAGCTCTCTCTTCCTTTAGAGAACACTACAGCCTCCCTAACAGTAAGTGTTTGCAATCCACCCAGAGTCTCTGCTCCAGCAGTCACATCAGCATGGCTCCTACCATCAGTCTCTGGCACCTCTTTCCAACCTCTCATGGGTAGTGCCTACCTTTACCAACATTCTAGCACAACTATGTTGTCTAGAGTTACCGGCCAGAGCCAGATCTCCACTGCAGCTGCTTCCAATCCTGGTATTTTTGAGTGGGCGCTCACAGGAGGCACTGAAAAGAAGTCCTCATCCATCCGAGACTTCACAGTGACTGTCATTGACCAGGACACAGCTGTTTCTTCCATGTCGATGGCATCCCAGTACAATAAAACCTCAGATGCCACTAACATGGTCCCTCTGTATCCATCACTTTCTGCCAGCCTTGTTCATGGGGCATCATCTCAGATTCCAAATCAGGGACAGAGCTGGTCACTTCCCTACCAGGAAGGAAGTCAGCTCTATTACTACAATCAAGGCACACTGGGGCCTCTGCTCCCTGCAGAACGGGGCCCCTACCTGCAATCCTATGGCTCTGTGTCTTACACAGAGAGCAGGGCCTCTGCCCCTCAACCAGAAATGGTCATGGTACTAAAGGAGGTCCAGCCCACAAGTGTGATACCACCGGCCTCCACCTCTGCAATCTACTACTCTGTGCCTGCTCAACCCATCACAGAGACAAGTTTTCAAGGTGAGTTCAAACAGCAAGAAGGAAGAGGAACGGGGTCACCATTAAAAACTCGGGTCACCCAGGAAGTGGTGAGTCCACAGACAGGTAGACTTTAAGTCCTGTGACTTTGTAACTGCCACCCTCAGTCAGTGCTCCCCATTTTCAGAGTCTATGGGAACAACAACTAGAGAAGGGAAGGTGGTAACTGGATTGGCCATGTATGCTACATGCATGAGAAAGCGAGAGCATACAAAGGGGTCCCACACTATTCACTCCCCTACCTACTAGTCCCCCTCTACTACCACACTGTCATGGACTCTCTTATTTATTGCTTCAGTGTCTTTAGAAGGAATTTCAGAACTCTTACTGCGATAGTGGCAGTTTAACTTTCCCTCACTCCTTAATTCATGCCAGGTTTTAAGACCTTGTGTTCCATGATCTTGTCCAAAGCAAGCAGGCTAGAAATCTGCCCTTGCTTACGTATTTCATGAGGAAGAGTTCCATTCCCTCCCCTACTCCATTGTGTGAAGTGTTGTTATTTCCTCAGGAAAGGGGAGAGAACTAAAAGGATTCCATTTGTACAATGCTAGCTTTTTAAAACAATATCATGGAACAATGACATCAATGATCCCCAGTGAGAAATACAACAGTTGTTTCCTTTCTCCTAGCACAGTGAGCTGTCCATGATCTTTAGGAAGAGCTGGTAGGAATGCCTTTCCCATTGTTGGAAGGAGCATGGTTGCTGCATTGGTGGTGACAGGGGAGCACCCATGGGTGGTGCCCAGGGACTGACTGGCTTCTCCTTGATTCGTTTGTAGTGATGGAGACTTCCCTGGGGATGAAGACTTCCCTCGGATTGCAACCTCTAAGCCAAACATTTTGTCTACCACAAACCCCAGAAATCCCCAAGTCTTGTAATGGCAGCAATATCCAGATGCTTGACAGCAACCCACCACCTGAGCTTGGGGACATTTCAATGGCAGCTCCAGCCCGGAGTCCTAGTATTTACCTGGCACTGCCCCCAGCTCCAAGCCAGGAACAGAAAGAGAATAGGAATTTGGAGGACATGAAAACCATGCTTTCAAAGCCTCTGGATGCTTACCAGATCCCAACAGAAAACCAAGATCCTCCACTGCTCCCTTTAGAAACCCCCGACATTCCCCAGCTCCTGGCCTGCTTTGATCCCCTTGGCCAGGAGGAGCAGCCTGGTTGGGAAAACGCTGGTCTGGGAAAGAACAGCCTGAGTCTTAAGGACCAAGGGACACTCGAAAATGGGACTGTACCCAATGATGGCTTTGCAGACATCGCTACACTGGTGGAGGATATTCACCTTCCAGTGGTCCTAAATTCCTTGGATGCACTTGATCAATCCAAAGGTCCCAAGGTGATCCAAACCAAAGATACCAGAGCCATCAATTTGAACAAGGTGCAGAAAACAAGTGTCATTAATGCTCCCTCTGATCAAGACAGGAAGAATAAACATGAAGCCTCTGAGCTGATCAGTGGTGCTCCCATAGTCAAAATCCAGCCTGAGAGCCCAGATGGCATGTTCGTGGGAGAAGTGGCTGTTTCCAATGCTGCAGCCAGTGACAGAGCTCCTGAAAACAGGGCCAAGAATTCTAACAAACCTCAGAAAGCTGCCCCCAGCAGGACCAGCAAAACCAAGAGCCATGGGCAAGAAAAGGCCAAAAGAACCAGAGAAAACAACCCCAAGAAAACTGAAGAGAGTAAGCAGTCAGGGAACAAAGTCAAGGCAGAGGAGAAGCCAAACATTCCAAAGATGAAATGGAAGAAAAACCAACCTCAGCTGACCCAAGAGACCTTCAAAAAGCCCCGAAGCTCCCTGGGTATGCATATGCTGGAGTCTGTGCAGGTTTTTCATGCCCTGGGGAAGAAGAGTGATAAGAAAACTGAACTCTCTTCCTCCCGGGCCCTGGGACACTCAAGCAACCCCAAAGGCCCCCAGCCATCCCTAGCTATCAGACAATGGCTGGATACCCCTCGTGAGGGCAAAGGTCCTGAGAAAGCTCCAGTCAAACGCCAGAAACCAGATGGCAGTGCTGAAAAGGAGTGTTCATCTCCATCTGAATACGAGCTGCCACCGCCTAGGAAGGTCAAGTTGGTACCTTTGATTTTTCCAACTTTGGACAAGCCCCAAGCTCGACCTGTTCCTCGCAGGCCACTGTCTCTGGCATCACGTCGGCCCGCTGGGGCTAACCAGCCAAGTTCTAAGTCAGTTCAACCTATTACAGTCAATTCATCCCAGCCAAGTCCTGCATCTTTGAAAGGTCCTGCCAGATCAGCTCTGCCAACTTCAACCAACCCTGCTAGTCCTGGTTCTATGTCGGCTCAACCTACTGCACTCAATTCATCCCCACCAATACAGCATCTATGACAGGTCCTGCCAGACCAGCGTGCCAAAATTCGACCAACCCAGCCAGACTAGGTTGGACCAACCCTATCCAGCCTAGTGTCCCACAATCTAATGCTTCTAGGCCGGTGCCCTACAAAACATCAACTTACACTTCTTTCCAAGGGGAACCCAGTTGCACTGCTGTGAAGCCCTGGACTCCGCCCAAACCTCAAAACCAGTATCTACTGCAGGATTCTGCCTGCCAACGAATTCCAAGGAGGAACCCCAGTGTTTCTGGTCCAGTAATGTCAACACCCATCATAAACGAGCAGAGGCCAGAGCAGGAGGCCATGAAGAGAAAGGCTCAGCTGGAGCAGGAGAATGCTGCCAAATGCTCTTTGGGGAAAGTGCAGTCTTTCACTGAGAGGGAAAAAGAAATGGAAATGTCTAAATACTGCGGCTGTGCAGTATAAGTGATGCTAGGAGTATTTATGCCACTCTGGATATCTACAGTTTTCCCACAGTAGATAAATATAAATTGCTGTATTCTGATATATTTTAAATCTTAATAAAATTGAATAATAAAATAGAATTAGAAGATGACTAATGAAGCCTTTTGAGTTTTGAGATGCTGTTAACTGTGGTTTTCCTTGGTGGGGGTGGGGATCAAAAGCTGCATGAGAATTGGTAGTTGGATGGGCAAATGAGGGACAAGGGGTAAGAACTGGGGGAATTTTGTCTATGGCCAGAAAGATTAAAGGGGAGGTTATGGGTTTATAAAAAGAAGCAGTAAGGGGGAAAATGGCAGAAGATGCAGGGTCTGAGGTTAGGGTTAAAAGGGTAAAATCTGAATAGAGTTGAAGATGGCAGAAAATGACTCTAGGTTGGCCAGGAGAAATGTAAAGTCTCTCCTGGAGGCTGGCCTTATGTCTCATGACCACCAGGTAAGTATTTTAGAAAACAGATACTGGGCACATTTCCAAAAGGTCTGGGTTGCCTTACCATGTATGATTATAGTTGAGAGGTAAGTACAAATCAGTGGAACCTATCAGATTGAGTGGCAAGGGCTGAGAGTTATCCTGGAGGCAGCTTATAACTAGCCAAGTGAACTACGGCAGTAGGAGGCCCACCCAGAACAGGGCGTGAGATATAAATCCCCACTTACTCAACACCTAGGTACCACACCCACTAATGGACAACATTCAAGGTCAGTATCACTGTGCCACTTTAGTCATGAGGTTCAGCAATGGGCTGAGGTCACATTGCATGTGGTAGAGCAAAGTCTAGATTGGAGGCTTTTCTCCAAGGTCCTCAGTATTTGCAAGTGTCTCTAGGTACCCAACCAGGCTTTCAGAGCACAGCCTCTGGAAGTTAGTAGTGGAAGAGACCAAACTTGAGGAGAAGCCTAAATATTTACTTGAGGGGCTAGCCAGGGCCTTCTCCATGACCGGGGCCACGCATGCTGCCTTGTCTAAACACCTCCATCAAGTGAAGCGAAGGAGAATAATCCGTTGGAAGAGTGGATTTCCAAGGAGCGAGAGTAATAGGTGCGCCTGTGCACTGGTTTGCCACTGGAACAGCCGTAGGATGCAGGAGTCAGTTCAAAGGGTTTCGCAGCCGGAGGAACTGAGGGTCGGGGAGGGCGGGGGCCATGAAAGAGAATGAAGGGGAAGGAGACGGTAATCATTACCATGGGTAATTTGTTAATTTGCATTAAAAATTAATTTTGAGATATAATTTACATACTTTATATAAAATTCAGTTTTAAATTGTAAATTCAGTGACTTTTAGTACATTCACAAGCTTGTGCAACCATCACTATTATCGAACCCAAAACATATTCATCAGCCCAAAAAGAAACCCCCCTAACCATTAGCAGTCACTCCTTGTTTCCTCCTCCCTCCAGGCCCTGGCAACCACTAATCTGCTTTCTACCTGGATAGATGTCTTTTCTGGAGATTTCATGTATGTCAAGTAACATAATATATGACCTTTGTGTCTGGCTTCTTTCATTTAGCACGTTGTCGAAGTCCATCTTGTTGTAGCACGAGTCAGCACTTCATTCCTTTTCATGACTATATAACATTCTATGGAATGGCTCTACCACATTTGTTTATCCATTCATCACTTGATGGACATCTGAGTTGTTTCCACTAGCAACTTACATTTATTGAGAGTTTATTCTGTGCCAGGCAGCACCAGGCTAACTTATTCACCCCATTTCACACACACAAAAAAAGATAGGTTTGAAGAGTATCAAGTATTTGCCCAAGATGAAGAGCTAGCAATTGGGAGAGCTTGGGTTGGACTCAAGCAGTCACACTTCAGAGGTAGATTCCTATCATATTACTTTAGAAAGGTACAAAGGGTACTCAAAGAAAATCCACCCCTTTCCTGAAGTTCCCCATCCACTAATTTCCCTCCTTCCTTAAAGACACTACTTTGCCATGCTGTGAATCCTTCCAGAGGAATTATTTACACTCCAACACATATGAATAATTTATTGATGAGTCTGTCCCACTAATCTGAAATGTTACTTTTATGGTATAATAAACCCTCATATGTATTTGTATTACTCTTCAGTATTGTCCTGCTTTATTGGGGCTTATTTTTATATTTGTCGTTTCTCTAGTTCCTTTTATCTTCTTTTTGATTTTTAAAAATTTTATTCTTTTCTCATGTTTCCCTTAAGGCATTATCCATTTTGATCATACACTCTTATTTTTATTCTTATTTCTGAAAATGTTTTATTGTTGATTCTGCTGAGTTCTATCATTTTACCTAGTGCTGATTTATGTAGTTCCTTCATCTTTCCTTACAACAGTAAAATACGTGTAACACACAATTTACCATTTTAACCATACAATTCAGTCACAGTAAGTACATTCATTATATTGTGCAACCATTACTACCATCTAAAATTAATATAATGATGTCAAATGTCGGAACAGGACTTCATAAAGATGGAGGGAGCAGGCCAGTTTTTGAATCTCCCCAAAGTATTTACTGACTGCCAAAACTGGTTTGGCTCAGTGGATAGAGCGTCGGCCTGCGGACTCAAGGGTCCCGGGTTCGATTCCGGTCAAGGGCATGTGCCTGGGTTGCGGGCACATCCCCGGTGGGGGGTGTGCAGGAGGCAGCTGGTCGATGTTTCTCTCTCATCGATGTTTCTAACTCTCTATCTCTCTCCCTTCCTCTCTGTAGAAAATCAATAAAATATATTTAAAAAAAAAAAAAGAATTTACTGAGGTTGGGACTGGAAAAAGCCCCTTCCAGTCTCAGCTGCTGTCCTCAACTTGGCCCCCAGTGCTCTCAGGTGAGGACTGCTGGCACTGTGAAGGCCTCCTGTGCTCACGCCCATCAGATGCTTCCTCCTGTCTGACACTCCCTCTGGTGCGATGCTGAGACCAGGCAGGTCTGTGCCCGGTGGTGGTTGTCTGCTCCACCCTCTCACTTTGGGGCTTCTACTTTCCTGGTAAATGCTACCCATGGGCGTTTAGTTTGGATTTATCTAATGCCATGAGAGGGTTTGGGGAAATTAAAAACAATGCCACTGTCTCTATCTTCCTTAAAATCTGCTCCATCCTTTGACATGATTATTTTAAATGTGACAGCCCTGGAATTATCAGTCCCCCAAAGCAGAGCTGCAGAGCCCATCTGCCCTACCCTCGTAGGACTCTGGGTCAGACAAGGCTTTCTGAGTCTCCTCTGTCTAAGGTGGCACCTCATGCTTATATTTGCTCGGATCATGGTGTAAATAAGAAGGCAAAACACAGCTACCTGAAAAGCTCATGGGTAGAGGGACATTTGGCCACCATGAGAGGGGGAATGGACCTGTGGGCAGGGGGAGAGTCTGTAGGCAGCCACTGGTCAGGAATGTGTATCTTTTCATTCCCTCTTTCCTTCTTTTATCTTCTTTTTTAGACATGTACAAAACTGCATCTCCCATCTGCCCTCCTCCCCAGCCAAACATATACACAAACAAAACAAACAACTGATCCATGCAGTTTTCTTCATCTCAATTCATGGTAATGCCATTTCCCAAGTTGCTCAGTCCGGAAATCTTTGAAATCATATGACTCCTCTCTTACACTCTCCATCATTCATCCAGATCATCAGCAAATTCCATCTGCCTTACCTTCACATTGTATCAAGGACTTGTCCACTTCTGACCATTTTCCTCCACTTCCACTCTAGTCCAAGTCTCCATCATTTCCTGCCTGGATTACTGGGACAGCCTCCTAACTTGGAGTTTCCCAATCATTGTAGATCCACAGAGCCCATGGTGTCTCACCCCTATGCAAAAATAAAACAAAATAAAATAGTCCCATTTGTTAAGTAGTTAAGTGCCAACAATTTAATAAGTATTTATGCCTGTAGTAGGCTGGACAGTGGCCAGCCAAAGACAGCTGGTGCTCATCCCTGAAACCTGTAAGTATTACTATTTCACTTAGAAAAAGGGTCTTTGTGAATTAAGGGTCTTCAGGTGGGAAGGTTATCTGAACTATGAGGGTGAGCTGAGCCATAAATGCAATCTATGCATCCATATCAAATGGAGGCAGAAGGAGATCTGATGCAGACAGAAGAGGGGAAGGTGATGTGACCATGGAGGCAAGAGGGCTCCAGGAAAGATTTCACACAAAAATAGAATCTAATGTGTGCATCCTAGCCACATTAACAGAAATGTTCAATGGTGTTAGAGATGTGGAGGAAGAATTGGTGATTAAGTCCATAGGGAAAGAGACAGACAAATGAGACCAGAATGAGGGAGACAAAAGTAGTATAAGAAAGGAAACATAATCATGGTATACTATGGCTTAGAGCTGTGTATTTATCTCATACATAACTTGAACTTAGAATTTCTGATTTAACCAAAAGTTGGGAAACAACTATACTAAAAGGATTCGGTAACAGAAGTATGTGTGTCATGGGTGTGAAAAAGCTAAATCCTCATCTTCCACTGTAAGAAGTCAATAGCATTAATGTATACAATATACACTACTTAATTATAACTTCTTTTATTTCTTCCTTGTATAATAGAGCATTACAATGATTTTTTTTTCTTTAAAACTAAGTATGGAAGTAGGTTGTACTTACCTATGAATTTCATTTCAGGACAGTAAAAGGCAAAATACAAAGTATATGCTATAAAAAGAGAAAATGGAGTGTGATGGGATAGAGAATCACTGTTCTACATGGTGAATTCAAATTTCTAAAAGAATATTGAATTAATTTTTGCTTACCTTTTTCAAAGGAACTTTGAAAGCAAAGTTGGAGTCCCAGGCATCCTCCGTCCAACAGGGAGATAGTCTTGCCACCTGTTAATACATTAGCCAAATTCTCTTAGCCTTTCTCCCAGCACACACTGAGGACTCCTCAGTCCCCTCTTCTCTTTGCTCTGCTGCTCCAGTATTCACCCCCACCCAGTTATCTGTACGTCCCCTCTTCCTGTTTCCCCATCTTGAAAACACGTACAAGGCAACAAACAGTGCAAAGGTCTCAACAAAGGAGGAATGCTTAACACCAGAGATGGCCAGAACTTCTATATCCCCGATAAAACCTAGCCTGGTCCTGAATACTAAGGAGGCATAAATACATAGATGTTAACTGAAATAGTTTAAACTCAATTCTTTCACTTCACAGTTCATTTTCAGTCCTCATACAACTGATGCCATCATTATTGGATCGGCAGGGAACTTCCAGTTCATACGGTAAAAAGAAAACCCCATAGAACCGTGACACTGAGCTGTGCTTAATAATGCTAGGAGTCACAGTGAGAAGTAATATTTGAGTTGACTTCTGCCGGATGAGTTAGAATGAACAAAGGTTGATTCGGTCTATCTTAAGCATTGGAAGTGAGGGCAAAAGTTGTACAAGTTGAGGCTGGAGAAGCAGGTTGGGTTCTAGACAGTACAGCGTACAGAGTCTTAAAGGCCGAGGTAAAGAGTTTTTTACTTTTTAAAATATATATTTTTTTATTGATTTTAGAGAGGGAGGGAAAAACATCAATGATTAGAGAGAATCACCAATCGGTTGCTCCCATACCCCACACCTGGGATCGAGCCCACACCCCGGCACGTGGCCTGACCTCCAGGTTCATAGGTAGACGCTCAACCATGAGCCACGCCAGCTGGGAGGCTCAGTGATTGATGTTTTGAGGATATTATGAGCTATGGTCCAATTTGCCAACTAAAAAGATCTGTTATGGGAAGAATGGACTGGAAGGAAACAAGAGATGGATATACATGCACTAGGAAGGACCTAACTGCAATGGCTCTGGCAAGTTCTGGGTAAGATGCTGGGGGAGAAGCTGGAAGTCAAAATGCTTCCGGGAGATAAAACGAAGGGGCCGTAACGAGGCACGAGGTGGAGGAAGGAAGGTCTGGAGGAATAAAGAAGGGTTCACTGGCCCTCAGCCTATAAACCAGGCCACGGTTGGTGGCGAGCAGGAGCCAGCAGATCAGTGATTCTCATCATTGATGTTTCTATTCCTCTCTTCCTTTCCCTTCCTCTCTGAAATTAATAAAAATATTTTTTAAAAAAGAAATTAAGCAAAGGATCCACATTAGTAATTTGAACCTAGAGAAGATGATCACTCAGATGAGCCGTTAGGAAGCAACAGTGTGGCCTTTTTCGGTTAAAACAATACAAACCAACTTTTTCCATGAAAAGTTCAGCGGTACTGGTGGGTTTCTTCCCCAATTGTCGTAGTTATTACATTTTAAAATACCACAACTTCCGGAATTAAGGGGGACTCTATTTTGGTAATTAATGGGTGTCCCCAAAACTGACAGTCCCATCTTTAAAAGCAGTCCCTCTGCATTTTACCCGAAGGGCAATGGCCTGGACTTGCTTTTATATATTTTTGCCTTTTTATTTATTTTTTATTTATTGTTATTGAGCGTATTACAGATGACCCCACCACAAACCCTCTCGTGGCAAGACCTGGCTTTCTAAAGGATGGAAAAGTCAGAAACGCAGACGGTCCCCTGCAGCTCCTGTGGGCGGGGCAGCGACAGGATCAGGGCCTCTCCCAAAAGGCGGACAGGCTGGAGCGCGGGGCCACGCCAACAGGCAGAGACCGGAGAGACGAAGCCCAGACCAGGGGCTGGGGGCTGGGAGGGCCACGCCCAGGGGCCAAGCCACCTTACCTTTCGGGGATGTGGTTCCCGCCCTTCTTCTTGGCCGACGAACGTCCAGAAGAGGCGCGTCCCCGGCCCCAGCGGCTGTGGGCACGATGCCATTGGCTCATGTGGACCCCGAGAGACCGCCCGCCCCACGCCAAGAGCGCCCACGTCGCCAGCCCAACTCCGTGGAGCCAAAACAAGATCCTCCACCGGAAGCTCCTGCACGGACACTGCGCACAGAACTCCCACCAGGCTCCGGCCTAACGCGCACGCGTCTCTCACCAGGTTCCTGCCTAACGCGCACGCGCCGCCGCCGGGGGCGATGACGTCACGCGCAGGATGAATGAGAGGCGGGATCAGTAAACAGGACTCTAGTAGGGGCTGTGGCGCCCTCCTTAGCCGGCGGCCGGTAGCACAGGTCCATGAGTTCATGTACAGACCCTGCAGAGTTCAATGCTGCAGCCCATGGAGTGAAAAGTTAAGTCCCCCCC